TAAATAAACATTTCAAGAAGAAATAATTGAATTCTTGGACTCTCCACTTCAACTTGACTTTCCTCTGGAAAAATTCAGACCTACAGAAATTAAGGCAACCATTGACAAATCGCTAAATCCGAAAAAATCTCCTGGTTACGATTCTATCACTGGGAAAATGTTAAAAGAACTGCCAAGGAAAGGAATTATTTTTATTGCATTTCTCTTTAATTCTATATTGAGACTAGACCACATACCAACTCAATTTAAGAAAGCCCAATTAATTGTCATACCAAAACCAGGAAAACCTCCTCATGAAATCACTTCCTACAGACCTATAAGTCTAAGAAGAACCTATAGTGTCTAAGTTGTTTGAGAAATTGTTCCTCAAAAGACTACAAGCTCTTTTTGAAGAAGACGACGTCATTCCAGGACACCAATTCGGGTCTAGACGGAGACATGGCACCGTGGAACAGGTCCATAGGGTTGTTCATACAATTCGAAACTGTTTGGAAAACAAACAATTTTGTTCTGCTGCTTTCCTTGATGTCAGTCAGGCGTTTGAGAAAGTATGGCACTCTGGCTTACTATTCAAAATTAAGAAGTTACTACCCCATTCAGTTTTTCCTATTTTAAAATCATATCTTACCAACAGAACTTTCCAAATTAAACATCAAAATTACTTAACTGACCTTTACCCTATAGAATCAGGAATCCCCCAAGGAAGCGTGCTTGGACCATACTTGTATATTCTCTATACATCGGACCTACCAGAAAGTGTAAACACTATGGTTGCTACATTTGCGGATGACACGGCGATTTTATCTGTCCACGACAATCCAGCTCAAGCTACAGCAAATTTACAGCTAAACTTAGATGAAATTTCTCATTGGTTTAAAACATGGAGGTTCAAAATTAATGAAAATAAATCAGCACACATTACTTTTACCTTAAATCAGGCTACATGTCCTCCAGTATCCATGAACAATATTCACCTCCCTCAAGTAACCGAAATAAAATACTTGGGCATGCACTTAGATGCAAAGCTTAATTGGAAGGCACATATCTGGACTAAAAGACAACATCTAAATTTAAAAACAACTAAACTTAATTGGCTTCTTGGATCTAAATCACAACTCAGTACACAAAATAAATTGTTACTGTACAAAACAGTTCTAAAACCAATTTGGCAACTTATGGTATTCAGCTTTGGGGATCAGCAAGTGCCTCAAACATTGAAATTATTCAACGTTACCAATCAAAATTATTACGTAAAATTGTCAACGCTCCTTGGTTTGTTACCAACAGAACACTTCACAATGATCTTCAAATTCGAACAGTAAAAGAAGAAATTACAAAATCTAGTGAAAAATACATTATAAAATTGGAAAATCATTCAAATCATCTTGCACTTAATTTATTGGACAATCACAACACCATTTACAGACTGAAGCGACATACGATATTGGACCTACCATTCAGATTCGGCTAAGTGTTATCAAAATTCTCTTTGTTAGCTAGTGTTGACGGTGGTCAATTACTAGCTCATGTTCTTCAAGTTATTTTTGTATTACTATTTATATCATTTGCTTATTGTTCAACTTGAACAGATTGTAAATTAAATAAAGTTAAAAAAAAGTCTAAATTACTTGAAGAATTATAAAATAGAAAATGTTTTACAAAAAACTACTGAAAATAGAATGATTGTGTTATTTGTTTGTTTACTTTTGTGTTTTGATTTGCTTGAACTGAATAAATTATGTTCCATATAATGTTAGTTTTATTTTATGTTAAAAATAACTCACACTTATCTGGCCTTACACGACACTTAACTTACACGCCTGGTAAAATACGCAGCCTGGTGTCTCAGTGTAGTAAAAAAATCTAATCTTATTTTATGGTAAACATTGTTTTATTTCAGTCTAGCTATGTATATCATTCACATTTTACAATTTCTCTCACTAGACTTTTAATGTGTCACCAAGCAGTAAAAAATAACGAGCAATTGGCTTGAATCCTTCCCTTTACTGTTTAAATAGTTGAACCATTGAAGGGTGGTGAAAGTATTTTTAAGACTGTTCATCCTAGAAACTCAATAGCCTAATTAGTCCAGTCAATAAAGGGGTTGTAGAGGACATGGAGAGGGGGAAATTTTTTTTCTGCGGGAATGTGTTCGTGGTAGTTAGAAGATAAAAATACCAAAAGTCCCCGCCCCTGACCCTGCTGCTTCAGCGGGGAGAGGGGGGGAAAGACCCCATTTTTTAGTTTTTTACTTCTACACTGAAAACCGTGCATCGTACAGAAAAAATTTAAATTATAAAAAGAAAGATGATGAAATTCTCTACAAGAATGGTCATATTCAATTCTTCCGTATATGCATTGGTTTAAAAGATATTCTCAAAATAATATAAAAATTCTCAAATAAATTGATTTTTCACGCGTTTTTTGTCAAATAAGTTTATATAATCCATTAGCTTGTTGTTTTTTCACATCAATCAGGATGGAAAACAGGTTTTTGAACACTAACCTATATAATATAATATATCAATCGTATATATTGTGTAAAAAATAGTTTATATAAATTTAAATAAGTTATGTATATTTTGTCATGGAAACAAGTAATTTTGGCATAATTATTACACAAAAAATTTAAAAGATTATGTTTGTAGCTATATTTGTCCAAGTTTATTAATAACAATAACCGAAACCAAGACTTAATATTATTGTTCATGGTGTGGCTCACTTGGGACGAGAGGGTCCGACTTCTGTCCCAAAAACTGGTGCCATCAGGAACTGACAACCACCATCTAGGACATCTCCATCATTCAATTCTTGTTGATTAGACTCAATATTGGCTATCGAAGTGAGAATTTGGTGTAGGCATGTATATTCTTCATCTTCCTCATTCATCAGAATGGGCATTTCATGTAAAAAGTTCCCTTAGCAGTTCTGGCATAACGGAGAACAATTATTGGGCATTTTCTTGCATGCACAAATTATACATCTGGCACTGTTGTAATCTTTGGTACATTTGTAAAAACTTGGTTAAGGGATTAACTGTTCCTAGTTACTATAATTTCGGTGATGAATAATAGTATAATATAGTAAACGAATATCTACTGACCAGTGCCGGTTCCTTGGTGGGGGCCGGTGGGAGGTATATATTGTCTCTGAAATATTTTATAAGCTAACATAAATACTATTGGCTTGAAGATATTTTAGAGCTCATATGCATATAAAAATACGTTATTGTGCTTTAAATTCCACATTTTTCCGGGGGGGGGGGGGGGTTAACCACCGGAGGCCCCTCCCCGGAAATTAAATCCTGGGACCGCCACTGCTACGGTACTGACTTTTTCAATCTGTAGCGTCTTTCTTGGTCTGCCATCTTCTGAATTGCTGTTATTGCTGTTCTGAATTGCTATATCCATCAAAAACAACAATGCATTACCTTACAAGGTAATAATAGGTATCCACGTACCTCACGTATCCATCACATATCGCAGACACTGAAGATCCCATTTGCCATTATAACCTTGTGCGTGAGAAATACCCCATCGATAACCAAATTAAAGGTCGTTAAAACTGTTGTTGGTTGGTTCCAAAGAACTTGAACGGTGCAGGCATTTTTGGTCTTTACTCATACCACTCTCATTAAATAAAGGGAAATGGAGCAAGTTCAAATTGTTAACAATCCTTTAAATCTTGATAACTTTTTTAACTTATACAAATCCTTTGAAACAGAATTAAAGGTTTTGCTGCAACGTTTTAATCATTGATATCGATGGTTGAACTCACAGAGGACAAAGGGAGAGCCATATTTTCCCGTGACAGCTTGTTGTCTGAAAATGATTACAATGCGATTAATTACTCGCAGACTACGTAATACAGCATCGTAATAGTTAACGGATTCATCTCCTACAACCCCAGATGCTATTGACATGATATCTTGAGTTTCAGGGAAGAATGGATCGATTTTCAAACATTGCTGTCAGTTTAGAAATATATGACATTTCATCATTTGTATCATTTAATCAAGGACAATTCTGTTTGGAAAACCAACTACCCTCAGAAATGTGGGATTGGGAGCGCAAAAAAGGTAATCTATTCCCTGTTTTAACCAATGAACCACCTAACCCACGAGAAATGTTGGGATTGTTTTTTTGCAAATATACTAAAGATTGTAGCAATGAAAGATGTACATGCAATGAAATGACCATTAAATGTTCCTCGTTGGCTGTTATGCCAGTAAGGGGACCGTTTAAATAGAATGCCAATTCTGATAAATGAGGATGATGAAGAATATATACACTAACCAATAAAAGGTTACAGTACCTGCAGACTGCCTTGTGGGTTTTTTGTAATCCAGTAGGATTACGTACGTTTTGGCAAATAAATTGCCATCATCAGATCCAGAACAAATTTTTAGTGTAATAATTATGCCAAAATTACTTGTTTCAATGAAAAAATATACATAACTTATTTAAATTTATATAAACTATTTTTTACACAATATATACGATTGATATATTATATTATATAGGTTAGTGTTCAAAAACCTGTTTTCTATCCTGATTGATGTGAAACAACAACAGGCTAATGGATTATATAAACTTATTTGACAAAAAACGCGTGAAAAATCAATTTATTTGAGAATTTTTATATTATTTTGAGAATATCTTTTAAACCAATGCATATACGGAAGAAATTAATATGACCATTCTTGTAGAGAATTTCATCATCTTTCTTTTTATAATTTACATTTTTTCTGTACGATGCACGGTTTTCAGTGTAGAAGTAAAAAACTAAAAAATGGGGTCTTTCCCCCCTCCCCCCGCTGAAGCAGCAGGGTCAGGGGCGGGGACTTTTGGTATTTTTATCTTCTAACTACCACGAACACATTCCCGCAGAAAAAAAATTTCCCCCTCTCCATGTCCTCTACAACCCCCTTTTGAGTATTCATTGACTGGACTAAATACAGTACGTGTATTTATGATTGTTTAAGAGTTGGCATTTCAAACCTGCAATGAATAAAGCAGGGTCGGGTTCTGTGCAAGTTCAGTTACGGACAGCAGACGAGAGTTGATGAGCTCCAGAGTGGTCGGAGGTTGCAGAATATTTGCCCTGAGAGATCTCTTGCCTCCCCACGTGCTGCAGTGGTCCAGAACTCCAAGCAGACTGCCTTTAGAGCCTCTCCCGTTCAAAGACAGCACCAACTCTAGTTTTTGAGCAGTTTTCATGTCTGCATCAAACGTGCACAATACTCATCACATTTAATTAATAGCTTTTAATGTCTTTGTTAAAATACTAGTACATATTTCTTTTAACTAACTGCAGATTCAACAAATTTTTACATTAGTTATTTGACATGTTATAAATACTTACTGGAATGCATAACCTTTAAAGGAAGATGTAAACATAAACTCCATACATGGGGGTTACCAAGTAACCAGGGCCGGATTTAGCATTTTGGCGCTTCTAGGCCCAATAATCTTTCCGCCTCCTAGTCTGGTTTATGTTACTTTCATATAAACCTTTGTTAAAAACTGGCCTATATCACGCCTAGTCTACTGCTCAACACAATTTTATCATTGCAAGTTTTTTGAAGAATTTACTTGGTTCTGGCCTTATCAAAATGCAAACCCTTTTAGAAATGTTATGTATTAAATAGTGAGCTAATGTCGTTTATGGGACTGAAACAAATAAATTATCAAGCAGAGCATTCCTGTAACAAAGCATGGCCATTGCTGCTGCCGCAGTGGCTTCCTTCAAATCAAATTGCAGGCCAAAAAACATGAACTCCGTACAGTACTATGGTTCATTCAATTTACTTACCTACATGATACCATAGATTAACATACTCCCTTAGTAGATTTGTTATACTTTTGGATCAGCTGAGGGAAATTTTTGTTATTTCAGTAATTTAAAACCTCGTTTAATCACATAAAATGATCTAATTATAAAAAATAGCTCGTCACCTGGTTGAATATAGTATTTAACAAGAAATTAAACATACATTTTAAAATTAACCCTGATATATCTTCATAAAATATACAAAATACACGTAAATTAATTGGTAAAACTTTATTCTAGAACTAATTCAATTCAAAAGATAAATGTAAACAATAACAAATAAAAACAACAATAATCATCTGATTATTTAAGCATATGACAATCCTCCCCCCTATTAAGCTGCTCTTAGTTGGTCGCAGTGTCTCTTAAATAACCGCCCGTCTTCTGATTTAACGAGGTACATCACATGTCCAAGCGGCCTTTCGATTGTTCCTGTTGACCACTTTTCTCCTGAGACGTTTGAGTAATTTCTCATCAATACACCTTGTCCCTTTGAGAAACTTCTTCTAGTTATAACTTGACTTTTATTTTGCGGGGTAGGTTTAGTCTCAACCATTAAGTCCATTTCGGTTCTTATGTTTCTTCCAAACATAAGCAAGTATGGAGATTGTCCTGTTGCCGAATGGCGTGTCTTCCTCAGCTGTTTCAGTATCATGTTTATCTTATCCTCATTGTGTCCTCCCCCACAAGCATGTAAGAGGTTCTTCACCGTTTGAACTACCCTTTCTGCTTGACCATTAGATTTTGGACAAAAAGGAGCAATGGTTTTATGTGTTATTTGATACTTCTTGAGGTAATTTTCAAACATAGTTGATGTAAACTGAGTCCCATTGTCTGAAACGAGGATATGAGGAAAACCAAATGTTGCAAATAGTTTGTCTAGTTGTTTTAAGCACCAGTCAGTTGTTGTCGATTTAGTCGGGATCACCTCTACCCATTTACTGTAAGCATCGACAACAATGAAGTAACTCCAGCCTTTTAGTGGTCCTGCAAAGTCTACGTGAATACGTTCCCATGGCCCACTTGGAGGTTCCCATGGATGGATCGTTTCATTAGGTGGACTTTTGAGTTTCTGTTGGCATGAATAACAATGTTTGACTAAATTTTCTATCTCCTGATCAATATTTTGCCAATAGCAGTAACTTCTAGCCAGAAGTTTCATCTTCGTCATGCCCATATGACCGGCATGCAACTCGTTTAGAACTTCTTTTCTTAATGTTAAAGGTACACAGATTCTATTCCCTCTGAACACACAGCCATCCATTAAGCAAAACTCGTTGTCACTTAATCCAAGTTCTTTTAAACTTCATAATGATGTTATTTGGTCCAGGATCACTTCTTGAAAATTAAAATGGTATAAGATTACCTGTTTCTGTCTGTGATCCTAATTTGTAGTATGAGCTACCGGTTTCGAGGTTATAACCTCATCATCAGGCTTCTTGTCACTCTTGCGAGGTCGTCGAGTTTTATAAACACACAAAACACTAACATTTAAATAAATAGTTACAAGACATTGACGGATACGATACGAATATATTTAACATAAAAAACTGGAACTAGTTCCCACACGACGCGGCACGGGCAAACGTTGAGTCATGACAAAACGTTTGCCCGTGCCGCGTCGTGTGGGAACTAGTTCCAGTTTTTTATGTTAAATATATTCGTATCGTATCCGTCAATGTCTTGTAACTATTTATTTAAATGTTAGTGTTTTGTGTGTTTATAAAACTCGACGACCTCGCAAGAGTGACAAGAAGCCTGATGATGAGGTTATAACCTCGAAACCGGTAGCTCATACTACAAATTAGGATCACAGACAGAAACAGGTAATCTTATACCATTTTAATTCTTTTAAACTCTTCCCTGTGTTTAAATAGTGTAATATCACTTTGAGATTTTCATCTTTCCTTGTTTCCTCTTCAATTTTTTTTCTTGTCACTGGCATTGCTTCCACTTGGTTTATCAGGTACTGCTCGTGATCATCAATTACATTTTCTGGAACCTCAGTGACCGGAAATCGAGATAAGAAATCTGCATTAGCGTGTTCTGTTGTATTGCGGTATTCAATTGTGTAATCGAATCCTGATAAAAAGTGAGCATAATTAAACATTCTCGAAGCTGTCATTGAAGGTAAGGTTTTTGCAGGATCAAAAATGGAAACGAGGGGTTTGTGATCTGTTATTAGAACAAAATGTCTTCCATAACAATAGGCGAAAAATTTCTTCAAACCCCAGTAAATACCTACAGCTTCTTTGTCGATTTGGCTGTACTTTCTTTCTGCTTTAGTGAGAGTCCTTGAGGCGAATGCTATTGGTTTCTCTGATCCATCTTGGTATCTGTGAGATAAACAAGCAATGAGCTAATATTCGTTCACTGGTTATTTCAGCTTTGATCTTCACAAAGGCATCTTCGCACTCTTTATTCCATGTAAACTTCTTTCCATGTCTTAGTAGATTGTTTAATGGTTCCAGATAGGTTGACATGTTAGGCACAAATCGTGTGTAGTAATTTGTGAGTCCTAGGAAACTTCTTAGTTGAGTAACATCTTCGGGTCTCTTTGCTTTACTTATAGCTTCGACATTTTCAGGTGATTTATGAAGGCCATTCTCGTCTATAACATGACCTAAATACTTTACACTTTTCTTGAAGAATCTGCATTTGTCCCGATTCATTCGTAAGTTGTATTGTCTAATTCTTTGAAAAACTTCTTTTAGTCGACTCATAGTTTCTTGAAATGTGCTCCCTTGAATAAGTATGTCGTCAAAGAAACATACAGTGCCTTCTAGTCCATGGAGAACCTTGTCCATAAATCGTTGCCATATACTTGGCGCTACTTTTATGCCGAACATTAGGCGATTTACTTTGTACAAACCTAAATGAGTACTTATGGTTTGTATTTCTCTTGATTCTTCATCAATTGGAAGGTGCAAATAGGCATTACTTATGTCCAAGGTGCAGAAAAATTTCCCTTTGTTCATGTGTGTAAAGATGTCTTCAATGCGAGGGATAGGGTACTTCTCATCTAATATTAGTTTGTTTGCTGTTACCTTGTAGTCAGCGCAGAGCCTTACACTTCCATTAGGCTTTTTTACGGGAACAATTGGTGTTCCCCATTGTGAGTTTTCAACTTTAGAGATTATACCACTGCTCTCTAGTCGATGTAGCTCATCTTCAACAGCTTTCCTTAGAGCATAAGGTACTTGTCATGGTTTGACAAAAATTGGTTTTGCCCCTTCCTTAAGCTGTATATGTCCTTGTTCTGAATTTATTTCACCGATTTCTGCCTTGAAAATGTCTTGAAAGTTTGTTAGGAGCAGGGCCGGACTTACCTATGGGCGAAGGGGGCGAACGCCCGGGGCCCCTGGGCCAAACCAGACAGTAGTTTGTACAGTAGTTTTTATTAATAACTTCGAAAATTGATCAGACACTTACCAAATGGCCTTCTTTTGTAACAGCTTTATTTTTATTTTCGTTATCCTATGTTTAAGGTTATTGTAAGGTGCATTTTAAGGCATTACTAGGAATGAAATTCTTGACCCTAAGGGACTTTTTCTCAGAGTTGCACTTGGCCCCACGCTTATAGTGCGTTCACACAGCCGTGGCACCTGAGGGATTAGGAGGCCCCAAGGGTTTCCATGGGGTGTCCTAATCCGTCAGGTGCCACGGCTGTGTGAACGGAGTATAGGCCTGGTTTACACGAGCATATGTGCTAGGCTGTGACGGACAAGTTTCAGTTTCAATGTCCTACCTCGCCCGAACGTACGGCCGCGGCGAATGAGTTTAAAGGGGGTCCCGCGCTTGGGACAAAAATACAATAAATATGAAAACTCTTGTCCCAACGTAGAACGTAACTTGTAAAATTGTGTTGTGTTAAATGGAGATTTACTGGAGTTCAAATACTTTTTAAAATAAAAACATTGCTCCGTTTATGTTTTATTAAATGTTATTCTTTTCTTTTACCTCTAAGTATATACCAATAAGGATTTTAAGGGGTAGAAGTATATTATCTGTTCAATTTAAAGGTTTTGTAAAATAGTAATTAATTAATTTATGCGTCAAAATTTTGATCTCCAATTTAGTTATTGGAGTCAAAATCATATAGCACCAGTAAGATTTTTTAAATCTATATAGACACTTTAAAACAACTAGAGTCGTCTGATGTTAACAAAAAAATTACATTTATTGGGATTGGGCGAGCGTTGACGACTGAAATCAAGCGAATAAGCAGAAGCAGGTGCAACAATAAATGATAATGAGCTGATAAGGGATCCTGTCTAGTCCTGTCTGTCTCACGCACGCGCATACACACACATAAAATGCCTTATCGCCTATCCAAAACAATTTAAATCACTTTATTTACTTTACTCCCATAGTTTGTCCTTTGAGACT